CCCCTCCCCCAAGGAGACCACAGCAGGGTTAAGAGCCGCCTGCTCTGGGCCCGTCTTCTGGACCTCGAAGGAACCCTCATGGGTCAGAGGGAGGGGGTGAGATCTTCTTTTATGCCTCTCTAGAAACGGGGGTCATGGGAAGCTTGGGGGGGCTGTGGAGAAACCCCCCCCTCCCCAGAACATCAGGCTGGTGAGAGCCGCCCACGAAGCCCGTCTCCTGGACCTCGAGGGGTCCCAGCAGCATCCTTTTCCATCCCCCCCACCCAAATCCTTTCTTTCTTGGCAGGGTGGTGAAGGAAGAGATCACCGAGGACAGCGCCCTCCTGCCCTGCTTCAACGGAAGAGTCGTCTCCTGGGTACGCCAGACCTTTGGCCTCCCCGCCGGGGATGAGGGTCTCGGGGGGGTATTCCGCGGCGGAGCCTTCTGGGCCCCTCAAAGTCTTATCTATTCTGAGCAGACTTAAATGGCTCCCCAGCCTGATCCAGCAGGAGGGAAGGGAGGGGACGGGCCAGAGGGAAACCTTCACCCCCCCACCTCTCACACTCGCACGCTCGCTCTCTCTCTCTCTCTCTCCCCCTCCCCTTTGCCCCCCACCCAGCTGGTGTCTTCGGAGGTCCCCCCACCTGAGCCGCCACCGCCCCCTCCTCCCGCTCCCGGCGAGGTCCGTCCGGAGCCTGCTCCCGCACCACCTCCTCTTCCTCCATTGCCCGTAGAAAGGACCAGCGGCATCGGCGACTCCCGCCCTCCTTCCTTCCAGTGAGTAGGAATGGCTGCTGTGCTTGTGTGTTTGTGTGTGTTTCCATGGTGGGGTTAAAAAACGGGACTAATCCAGCCTAGAACGGAGCGGGGTGGGGGGCGCCTAACAGGAGGAAAACTTGAGCTAACTTTTTTCAATAATACTTCAGTTTTTGTTGCTTTTATTTATTATTGTTAGATTTCTATCCTCCACGTATCACTTTATAAGGAACTCAAGGTACGGCAATCATACGCTGCTTAAAAAAAATAAAGGGAACGCAAAAATAAGACATCCTAGATCTGAATGAATGAAACATTCTTATTAAATACTTTGTTCATTACATAGTTGAATGTGCAGACAACAAAATCACAGAAAAAGTATCAATGGAAATCAAATGTAGCAACCCATGGAGGTCTGGATGTGGAGGTACACTCAAAATTAAAGTGGAAAAAAACACTACAGGCTGATCCAACTTTGATGTAATGTCCTTAAAGCAAGTCAAAATGAGGCTCAGTAGTATGTGTGGCCTCCACGTGCCTGTATGACCTCCCTACAACGCCTGGGTGTGCTCCTGATGAGGTGGCGGATGGTCTCCTGAGGGATCTCCTCCCACACCTGGACTAAAGCATCCCCCAACTCCTGGACAGTCTGTGGTGCAACGTGGCGTTGGTGGATGGAGCGAAACATGAAGTCCCAGATGTGCTCAATTGGATTCAGGTCTGGGGAACCGGCGGGCCAGTCCAGAGCATCAATGCTTTCGTCTTGCAGGAATTGCTGACACACTCCAGCCACATGAGGTCTAGCACTGTCTTGCATTAGAAGGAACCCAGGGCCAAGCGCACCAGCATATGGTCTCACGAGGGGTCTGAGGATCTCATCTCGGTACCTAATGGCAGTCAGGCTACCTCTGGCGAGCACATGGAGGGCTGTGCGGCCCCCTAAAGAAATGCCACCCCACACCATTACTGACCCACTGCCAAACCGGTCATGCTGGAGGATGTTGCAGGCAGCAGAACGGTCTCCACGGCGTCTCCAGGCCCTGTCACGTCTGTCACATGTGCTCAGCGTGAACCTGCTTTCATCTGTGAAGAGCACAGGGCGCCAGTGGCGAATTTGCCAGTCTTGCTGTTCTCTGGCAAATGCCAAACGTCCTGCACGGTGTTGGGCTGTAAGCACAACCCCCACCTGTGGACGTCGGGCCCTCGTACCACCATCATGGAGTCTGTTTCTGACTGTTTGAGCAGCCACATGCACATTTCTGGCCCGCTGGAGGTCATTTTGCAGGGCTCTGGCAGTGCTCCTCCTGCCCCTCCTTGCACAAAGGCGGAGGTGGCGGTCCGGATGCTGGGTTGTTGCCCCCCTACGGCCTCCTCCACGTCTCCTGATGTACTAGCCTGTCCCCTGGTAGCGCCTCCATGCTCTGGACACTACGCTGACAGACACAGCAAACCTTTTTGCCACAGCTCGCATTGATGTGCCACCCTGGATGAGCTGCACTACCTGAGCCACTTGTGTGGGTTGTAGACTCCGTCCCATGCTACCACTAGAGTGAAAGCACCGCCAGCATTCAGAAGTGACCAAACCATCAGCCAGAAAGCATAGGAACTGAGAAGTGCAGAACCGCTCCTTTATTGGGGATGTCTTGCTACCTGCCTCTGCTTTCCACCTGTTGTCTATTCCATTTGCACAACAGCTTCTGAAATTGATTGTCAATCAGTGTTGCTACCTAAGTGGACAGTTTGATTTCACAGAAGTGTGATTGACTCGGAGTTACATTGTGTTGTTTAAGTGTTCCCTTTATTTTTTTGAGCAGTGTATTTAATGCTGCTCCTTTTATTCCCCCCCCCCCAAAAAAAAATACACCAGCTGTTTTTCGGGGGAGCTAGAACTTCTGGTGATTGGCCCAAAGTCCCCCAGCTGAGTTTCATGCCTAAGGTGAGACTAGAACTGACCATCTCCCAGTTTCCACGCCAGCCCCTCACCCCTATACCCAACGGGTTTCCTCCACAGCCCAAACCTCTCGGGCAGCTGCGAAAACTTGGACCGTGAAACCGAGACGGAGTCCGTCGTGTCCCTGCGGAGAGAGCGGCCACGGCGCCGGGAGAGCATGGAGCACGGAGGTAAACGGCCTGTCTCCGAAAGCTTCCAGGCCCTTTCCTTAGCCGGGGAGGGCAGGCGGGGAGGCCCAGTCCCGGCAGGATGGATCGCTCTGACACCCTCCTCCCCTTTCCGCCTCAGGTGGGCACCGGATCAATGGGCAATCCCGGCTGGAGCGCCACCTGGCTGGCTACGAGAGCTCCTCCACGCTGCTTACCAGCGAGCTGGAGACCACCAGCCTCTGTGACTCGGATGACGACGATGCCATGAGCCGGTGAGCACCGGAAAGCAGGCAGGAACGGCTGGAAACGTTTGCAAATTCCTGATTTCCTGCCAAAACCTCTAGGCTCTGGAGTGGAGGAATGCATGGGAATCCAGGAAGCTTCATCCCCACGTTGTCTCTGTTGTCTTCCCACTGGGATTGGAGCCCATGTCGGCACTGTTCTGACCCAAGCTTCCTAGTCCATAATTATGCACACACTTCTTTTAAAAACAAGTCCTAGTTTATTGCAACGCTGGGAAATGCATTCATTCCCAGCCGGGAATGAATCTCAAATAGTCTCTCGAGATAAGCACCCACCTTTCTTTCCTGTGAAGTGCTGCCAATAATAGAACTGTCCAATGAACTAGGGGAAAAAAACAACAACCAAGCTTCAAAAATGAATCCGAACAGATCAAAGTACTTGCTTCCTGCAAAGGTTTCGTCACCTTGGCCTGACTTTTATCCCTTATGGGTGGGGCAATCACCTCCCAGCCTTACTCCCGAGTCGCCTCTTTTGTTTCAGCCGCTCTCGCCTTCTGACAACTCTTTGCACACGCGCCCTGGGAACAGGCTCCCCTGGGTCCTCTGCCTTGCTGCTGCCAGACTCCGAAGGCAGCCCCCCACTCCCACACGGTCCTGGCCCCATCTCTGTATCGGACGCAGGACCCTCGTCCGCGTCCTCTCCAGACTTCCGGACTGATCCCTGTTCTTCCCCACGGTCCGATTCCGCTGCCGTCTGCGTTGGCCGCTGGCAAACCACAACAGGCACAGGAGCCATGCCACGTGCCCCATCGGGCGGGGTATTCCGGCCGGTGGGCTCGAGGAGAAGGACGTTCTCTGCTGTTGCTCCTGCCCATTGGAACATCTTCCCCCCGCCCCTCCCCATGTGAGGTGGGCTGTACCCTGCTGACCTTCCACGAGAGCCTTCAGATTTCACATGGAGGGTGGTGGGAAATGCTTAAAACGTAGGACATCAGAGTTGGAAGGGACCTTGGAGGTCATCTAGCCCAGGGGTTGCCAACCTTTTGGACCTCAGGGACCACCAAACTCATCATTTTAAATCCCATGGACCAGAGACCCTGGGAAAATTCCCCACCCCGTTTTCCTACCGATCAATCGTTCTTTATTTGGGATGGCAGGATACCGTCTCCAGCTCCGTTCTCAGAGAGAGAGAGAGAGGAGAGACTTTTGGCTTCGTGCAAGGAAAGCAGCAGAAGCCGCAGAATTCTTTCTTTCTCTCCCCCAAACTCCGCCAGAAATGAGTCTTGGTGAGACTTGGAGCAGGAGGCCTTGCAGGGTCCCACAGACTCGTTTCTGGCAGAGTTTGGGGGAGAGAAAGAAAGACTTCTGGTGCTTTCCTTGCGTGCAGCCAGAAGCAGAAGAAGAAAGAAGCCGGGCGCTTGGGGCGCGTGGGGCAAGTTCCCCCCCCTCCCCTCACTCGTGTTGTTCACGACACAAACAATGCAGCCTTGGGTTCCTGTGCAGCCTGCATTAATTGCTTTTTGGGGGGTGAGGGTTGGGGAAGACTTCTCTGCAAACCACCAAAATTTTGTCACAGCCCACCAGTTGGCGACCCCTGATCTAGTCCAACGTCCTGCTGAAAGCAGGAGTCCCTACACCAAGGGCCGGCAACCTTAAACATTCAAAGAGTCACAAAGGCCCTAAACAGAAGCTGCCCCCCCCCTTCAAATTGTGAAGCTGACCGACCTTATGGCAGTTCCCCCCCAACCATAGAGTCTCCTCCTAGCGCGGTGTCCTTTTTCCTCTACCTCTCCTAACCAAAAGCCCTATCAATTCCGGAGCCGGCCGGCAACAGGGAGCTGCAGCGAAAGGGAGGAAAGAGCCACATCCAGCTCTAGAGCCACGGGTTGCCTACCCCTCCCTTATACCATCCTAGACAAGTCTCTTCTTTAAAGCCTCCACTGTTGGAGCACCCACAACTTCTGGTGGCAAGTAGTTCCACTGGTTAACTGTCCCCACTGTTAGGTAGTTTCTCCTTAGTTCTAGGTTGCTGCTTGTCCTGCCTTCTGGTGCTCTGGAGAATAGCTTGACTGCTTCCTCTTCTTTGGGGCAGCCCCTCAAATATTGGAAGACTGCTATCACGTTCCCCCCCACCCCCAAGTCCGTGACAGGTTGATAGATTAATGACACATTCAACTACCACTCTGCTCATCCTACGTCCTCCCCAACTTTTAGTTAAGGCTGAGTTATTTGGATCTTGATAGTATTTTACTTACGGCTTTTCACAGGTCGTCCTTAATTTTGAACCATTCATTTAATGTCAGTTTGAAAAAAGGACTTTAGGACTTACGACTGTTGCAGTTATTCACGTAATCCAAATTTGTCCCGTTCGGCAACCGACTTGTATTTATGACGGTCGCCGCGTCCCGGGGCTCGCGTGACAAATTCCTGGGGAAGTTAGATTCCCTCAACGACCATGTGACTCGCTGGCGTGGCCAGAAAGGCCGTTCAAACGGGGACAAAACTGACTTCAGTGGTCTCGCTCGGCAGCAGAAATGTAGGGCTCCGTTGCCATCGTAAGCCAAGGCCCACTTGCAGTGGTGTAGGGTGGCGGTTGCAAAAAGGCATCGCTGGGCGGTGCCCTTTCCCAGACGGGGACCTCCCTCGTGCCCTTCGCTCCTGTGAGCCCCTCGCCCATTTTCACTTGGCAGGTTTAGCAGTTCCACGGAGCAGAGCAGCGCCTCCCGCCTTCTCAAGCGCCACCGTCGGAGGAGGAAGCAGCGCCCACCACGTCTCGAACGGGTAGGGGGCCAAGAGCCCAGTCTCAGCATCTGAGATCCAGAGGGTCTCTTCTCAACGGGCAGCCAAAGGTCCAGGATGGTACCAAGTTCCCCCTTAAATAAGACCCTGTCTTATATTTTGTTTGCCATCAAAAAAGGGCACCAGGTCTTATTTTCAGGGGATGTCCTCCACGGACTAAACTCACTTGCGCGCGTTGTCACCGGCCTCCTTCGGAAGTCCTTCTTCTGCGGCCGGCAAGGCTTTGCAGAAGGCCTCTGCAGCCGATAACTCTGGATCGATCTGGAGCTTTGATATCAGCTCCAGAGGCCTTCAGGAAAGCCTTGCCAGCTCCAGGAAAAATGGGCCCGCAAGGCAGGTGTCGGGGGGTGCGAGGCCTGGCTACACCTGTCCAAAGGTAAGTAGTAGTGCAGCTCCACCCCTGCATTCCTCACCCCAATTTAATTTTTACCCATCCACTCTGGAGTGGGTGGGAATCTTCATTAGGGCTTATTTGGGGGGTAGGGCTTATATTGGGCGCGTGTGTAAAAAAAGCTCAAGCTAGGGCTTACTTTCAGGGCAGGTTGTATTTTCGGGGAAACAGGCTACATTTCTTAGTTCTACATAAACATCCTGTCTGGGTATCCATTCGAGCGGGTGGGAATCTTAATTAGGGCTTTTGGGGGGCAGGGTAGGGATTATATTAGGCAAACACGTAAAAAATCAAGCTTGGACTTTCAGGGTAGGTCGTATTTTCAGGGACACGGGATAGCTTTTTTGTGGGGAGTGGGTGCAGGTGGTCTTGTCTTGCCTCTATCCCTCTCTTCTCCTGTCTTCCAGACATCGTCCTTCAGCAGCGTCACCGACTCCACTATGTCGCTGAACATCATCACCGTCACCCTGAACATGGGTAAACACCCCCTGCACGGGCCAAAAAGAAGAGAGAGAGGGGTGGAAACTGGTCCTGACATTGCAAAAGTTGTAAAAAAAAAAAAAATCTTATCTGACCCGGCTCCCAAAACACGACAAACCCTCTTGACGTGAACTCAAAAGTTTCCGTTAATTAGGAGCGCCGGCAGCCTCGGCCAAATGTTTCCCTCTCTCACCGCAGGCTGACCGGTGTGTCCGGCAGGGAGGTGAATAGCTGTCTGCCACACCTACTCACCTCCGCCCCCCTGCCTTTGATCCCCAGAGCTGGGGTGGGGGCTTTCCTGACAGCAGCGGTGGCTCTCCCGTCCTGAGGTCCGGCCCATAGATTTCCACTGCTCTCCTCTCCTCTGCCTTCTGCACGTCAGGCCCTGGATCCAGCTGTTCCTCCTCTTCCTAATCAGCCCCCTCCAGGCGGCCAGCAGTCCACAACAAAGACCCCAAAGGGTGAAGGGGTCATCATCGAGGTTGGGCGGCCCCCCTCCGTGGTCCCCCTTCTACCTCCCACTCCACTCCCCGAGCGGGCAGGAGGAGAGCGGTTTTGAACATGGCTGAGATATAAAGCGTCTCGTTTGCCTCTTGACTTCCTTGGGAAACCCACCAAGATTGTTTTTAAAAAGAAATCCCTTTTGGGAAAGAGGGCAAACCGCTCCTATCCACTCTGCCCGCTCGTTTCGGTGGCGGGGGGTGGGGGAGATTGAACAGGACTAGAGCCTTCAGAAGAGGAGGTGTTTGCATCTCTCAAGGGTTGGCCCCAGAGTTGGAGCCTGCCCAGGCTGACAAACATCACCCCTCGCAAATGTGACCCCACTGAGACCTGTAGCTGAACCCTATTGTTTATGATTTATTTGTATTTATTGAGCAATTTTATATAGCTTACCCATTGCTGACGACTCTAGGTGGCTTATCACACTGAAGGAATTTAAAGCTCCGTTATCAATAAAAGAATCTTATTTGCAGTTTGGGGTTGAGATGATAGATGGATGGATGGATGGATAGAGAGGGAGGGATGGATGGATAGGGAGGGAGGGATGGATGGAGAGAGAGAGATGGATGGATGGAGAGAGAGATAGGTAGATAGGTAGATGGATGGTGGAGAGATGCATAGATAGATAGATGATAGAGAGAGAGAGATAGATGATAGATAAGGTTGATTAGATAGAGAGAGATAAGGTTGATTAGATAGATAGATGTTTATAGTTAGATATAGATAGATAGTTGGAGAGATGGAGAGATGGATAGATAGAGGATGGATGGAGATAGATATATCGGTAGAGATATGTAGATGATGGATGGATGTAGAGAGGTGGATATAGATAGATACATAGATGTGTAGAGAGATGGGTGGATAGATAGATGATGGATGTAGAGATGGAGATATAGAGATAAGGGATAGGTAGATGCATGGAGAGAGGTAGAGATAGGTGGATGGATGGAGATAGATATTTCTATCTTAGAGTTGATAGATGATGGATGGATGTAAAGAGATGGATGGATGTAGAGATGGATATAGACAGATACATAGAGAGGGATGGATGGATAGATGAGAGGTAGACGGACGGATGGAGATAGATACTTCTATTTTAGAGAGAGAGAGTGGATGATAAATGGATGGAGAGAGATTGATGGATGGAGATAGAAATAGAGGGATACGGAGGGAGGTCCTCGGTGCTCTTTGAGCCGGGTGGTTTTTCTGCAGATGTTTCCTTATCCAAACTAGGGGACACCGATCGCCACGATGAGTGGGAAAGGTTTGGTTAAGGAAACCCCTGGGAGAAAGAACCAAAGGCCAGAGAGCCCCAAGGACCCCCCCTTCCCCCCCGCCCCAAGTTCCCTTAATGTCCTCCTTTCCTTCCGGTCTTGTCTTGGTAGAAAAATACAACTTCCTGGGCATCTCCATTGTGGGGCAGAGCAACGAGCGGGGCGACGGGGGCATCTACATCGGCTCCATCATGAAAGGGGGGGCCGTGGCAGCCGACGGCCGGATCGAACCCGGGGACATGTTGCTCCAGGTGAGGCGGGCGCCCCGTTTCCCCTTAGCCCAGCACAGCGTGCGGCGGAGAGGGTAGCGTCTGGCTCCGGGGTGAAGCCTGGGCTCCTCCGTTGCTCTCGGAGCCGGGCGGTTCCCTTGCAGGCGTTTCGTGGCCCAAACCCAACGCGCTGATGAGGTTGCTTAGTTTGGGAATGAAACGCCCGCAAGAAAAACCACCCAGCTCAGAGAGCACCAAGGAGCCCACAGTCCTCCTCCTCCTCCTTACCCCTCCTTCTAGCCCTGGTGTTGTTCCTTACTTGGGTCATGAAACGTCTGTAAGAAAACCTCCCAGCTCAGAGAGCACCAAGGACCCTATTGCCTTTCTCCTCTTCCTCCGTTTCCTCTTTTTCCTCCTCTTCCTCCTCCATTTCCTCCTCGTCTTCTTCCATTTCCTCCTCTTCCTCCTCCCTTTCTTTCCTTCTCTTCCTCCTCCATTTCTTCTTCCTCTTCCTTTCCCTCTTCTTCCTCTTCCTCCTCCTCCTCACCCCCCCCACTCCCTTCTAGCACTCATGATGTTCTCTCGCTGGTCATGAAACACCTGCAAGAAAGCTAGCAGGCTCAAGAAGCGCCAAGCACCCCCATACTTCTCCTTCACCCTGCGACCTCCTCTTGCTTCTAATACTGATAATGTTCCCTAGTTGGGTCATGAAATGTCTGCAAGAAAGCTGCCAAGCTCAGAGAGCACCAAGGACCCCACAGTCCTTTTTTTTCCTCCTCCTCCCCTGACGATGTTCCCTAGTTGGGTCGTGAGATGTCTGCAAGGAAACCAACCCAGCTTAGAGACCACCTATGTAACTGCCTTCGCCCTCTTCTCGGATTCTTGCCAGGGCAGGAATTAGAGAGAGAGAGAGAGAGAGAGAGGGAGCTTCTCCGTGTCTTAGAGGCAGGTGAGCGAGAACTCCAGGTGGCTCAAAGCATTTCGCCCCTCCCTTCTCAATCCCAGGTGAACGACATCAACTTTGAGAACATGAGCAATGACGATGCCGTGAGAGTACTGCGAGAGATCGTCCACAAGCCGGGGTAAGTTCTGCCAAAGCCCGCCCCCACCCCCCACCCCCCGCAGGTGGGAGGAGGGGGCCGCCGGCCGTTCCCCCCAAAACGATCCCTCCCTCTCCTTCCTTCCTTCCTTCCTTCCTTCCTTCCTTCCTTCCTTCCTTCTTTCCTTCCTTTCTTTGCAGCCCCATCGTGCTGACGGTAGCCAAGTGCTGGGACCCCTCCCCACAAGGGTATTTCACCCTGCCCAGAAGTAAGTCATCCGCGCCCGTCCTTGGCCGCAAAGGGGGGGGGATTTGGGGGTGGGGTGGGGGCAATCTGTTGGGTTGCCCTCACTGCTAAGAAATTGGGGGAGCGGAGGGAATCCCCAGGGAAGGAGGGAGGGGGAACGGGATGAGGCAAGGTGGGGGTCTCAACGTATTGTTCCCGTCCAGATGAGCCCATCCAACCCATCGATCCGGCCGCTTGGGTGTCCCACTCGGCCGCTCTGACGGGGGCCTTTGCCCCCTACCTGGGCAGCAGCTCCATGAGCACCATCACCTCGGGGACGTCCGTCACGGAGACCGAACGTGAGTCCGATACGCCTCACCCCCCCACTCCCTTCTCCCTTTCTATTGGCCACTCTCAAAAGGCCATAGAAATATCTTACGGGTTGACATTCGGCTTCCCTCACTTCTTGAAGGTGACCTGTACAACACAAAAAGAAAACAAAGGACTTAGGGTTGCGAAACCCCACCCCCCCAAGACTTGGTTGGGTTTCCTGCATGGAACCTTGTCCCAAGGCTTGGACATTCCTTGGAAAATGTGGGGGGCAGACGAGGGATCCCCATGTGGAACTCCCGGGGGACGGTGACTGATCCCGTCCCGTTTTCCCGCTTAGGCTTTGACAACTTCAACCTCTCGATCCACACGGACATGGCTTCCGTCACCAAGGCCATGGCGTCCCCCGAGTCCGGCTTGGAAGTCCGCGACCGCATGTGGCTGAAGATCACTATCCCGGATGCTTTCCTAGGTATCGGGGGGGGGGGGTGTGAACCCGTGGTAATGGGGGCTGAATCGGTGGTGGGATTCAAATATTTTTACTACCGGTTCTGTGGCCGTAGCTTGGTGTAAATCTCACTGGCTGGGGGATTCTGGGAGTGGAAGTCCACAGGTATTAAATCAGGAGGCGCCAACCTTGGCAACTTTAAGCCTGGTGGACTTCAACTCCCAGAATTCCCCATCCAGCCATCCCTCTTGTTCTTTTTTCCCTCCTACTCCCTAGAGTGGAGCGATTGCAAAATTCCACTCTATAAAGCCTTAGTAAGGCCACACCTAGAGAACTGCCTCCAGGTTTGGTCACCACATTATAAAAAACATGTTGAGACTCTAGAAAGAGTGCAGAGAAGAGCAACCAGGATGATGAGGGGACTGGAGGCTAAAACATACGATGAACGGTTGCAGGAACTGGGCCTGGCTGGTCTAGTAAAGAGAAGGACCAGGGGAGACAGGAGAGCAGCCTTCCAATATTTGAGGGGCTTCCCCAGAGAGGAGGAGGAGGGGGTCAAGCTATTCTCCAAAGCACCTGAAGGCCAGACAAGGATTAATGGATGGAAACTGATCCAGTAGAGATTCAACCTGGAAATAAGGAGGAATTTTCTGACAGGGAGAACCATCAACCGATGGAACAGAAGTTGCCCTCAGAAGTTGTGTGAGCTTCATCCCTGGAGGCTTTCAAGAAGAGACTGAGACTGCCCTCTGTCAGAAATGGTGTAGGGTCTCCTTCTTGGGCAGAAGGGGGTTGGACCTATAAGGTCCCTTCCAACTCTGATTATCGGTTAATCTGTAATTCGAGGACTACCTCTATATCCAGGCTGAGTGTGATGCGCCCCACCTCCAGGAAGGGGATTGTACACCTGGAAGGAGAGAAGGACTTCTGGTGGACAATGGGGGCCGACGAGGGGTGCCGATTTCCAAGCTGCCTCACTGCTCTCCCCGCTTTCCATTGGCCACTCTGAAAAGATCATAGAAATATTTTACGAGTTGACATTCGGCTCCCCTCACTTCTTGAAGGTCATCTGTACAACACAAAAAGAAAACAAAGGACTTAAGGTTGCGAACCACCGCCAGGCTTGGTTGGGTTTCCTGCATGGAACCTTGTTCCAAGGCAATCGGCCTGGATGTTCCTTGGAAAACAGGGGCAGGTGAGGAATTCCCCTCGCGGAACTCCTGAGGGACAGGTATCGATTTCCAAGCTGCCATACTGCTCCCCTCTCCCTTTCTATTAGCCGCTCTAAAACAACATAGAAATATCTTACGGGTTGACATTCGGCTACCCTCACTTCTTGAAGGTGACCTGTACAACACAAAAAGAAAACAAAGTTGCAAACCACCCCCCCCACAAGGCTCGGTTGGGTTTCCCGCATGGAACCTTGTCCCAAGGTGATCAGCTTGGTCGTTCCTTGGACAACGGGGGGGGGGGGCAGATGAGGGATCCCCATGGGAAATCCCAGGGGACGGTTACCGATCCCGCCCCGTTTCTCGCTAGGCTTCAACCTCTCATTCCAGATGGATATGGATTCCGTCACCAAGGCTATGGCGTTATAGCCGCCTCTTCCTCTCCCTCCCTCCTTAACCCCTCCATCACCCGAATGTCTTCTCATTTTCCCACCAGGCTCGGACGTCGTGGACTGGCTCTACCACCACGTGGAAGGCTTCCAGGACCGCCGCGAAGCCCGCAAGTACGCCAGTAACCTCCTGAAGGCTGGCTTCATCCGCCACACTGTGAACAAGATCACCTTCTCCGAGCAGTGCTACTACATCTTCGGCGACTTCAGCAGCTGCGAGAACTGTAAGTGTCTTGTCTCGTCTCGTCTCGTCTGGAGAGGACAAAGAACAAATGTGACTGTACGGCTTAATTTTTCTCTCTCTCCGTTGAGCTAACTTCCTTAATAGAAGGCGGGGATGAAGGAGATGTAATATATCTTGACTTCAGTAAAATGGGGGAAGAAGGGGAAGCTGGCTGGGGAATTCTGGGAGTTGAAGTCCACCGGTCTTAAAAGTTGCCGAGTTTGGAGGTCCCTGTTTTACGACATTATTTTGTGTACCACAGGAATGGAATGGAAGATAGAAAAAAAGAATAGAATAGAATATAGAAGGGAAGGGAACGGGAATGAGAATGGAACGAAAATGGAAGTAGAAATGGAATTAGAATTAGAATAGAATAGGAATAGAATTGACGGAATAGGAATAGAATGAATAGAATAGAACAGAAAGAATAGTAGAACAATAGAACTGAAAGGAACCTTTGAGGTCTTCTAGTCCAGCCCCTTGCTCAAGCAGGAGAATCTATACTGTCTCAGACAAGTGACTTTCCAATCTCTTCTTAAGATAATAAGAATAATAGCTTCCTTAATAGAAGTTATTAGAAGCTAGGGCAAAGGCAAGCAAGGGTGGTACCAATAGCCATAGGCGCCTTGGGCGCAGTCCCAAAACCACTAGAGCATCACTTGAACACCATCGGTGGCATTGACAAATTTGCCATCCGTCAATTGCGGAAGGCAGCTTGGAACAGCTTCCATCCTGCGGCAATCTCTGTAAAACCAGGTCCTTGGGAAGGACTTGATAGCTAGACAAAAATGCCAAGCCCAGGCTGACTGCGATTAATAATAATAATAACAACCACCACCTTTATTGTCATTGGACATATATACAACAAAATTCATTTTAGCTTCTGCTGCTGTTATCCACAACAAAAGTACAATTACAGCATGAACGCTACAGAAAGCGGTTGTTACACGAGTAATTAAGGGAGAAACCAATCACGTTTTCTTGTATGCGTGGAGTGATGGCAGTTGTATTTAGGAGCCTCCAGTGATGGACCACCCATGATTTCTAGTGGCAAGCTGTTCCACTGGTTCATTGTCCTCACGGTTAGGAACTTTCTCCTCAGTTCCAGGACAAGGGGTTCATTCCGTAGGACCCACTGACATCCGTATAAAATCAATCCCTGTCGCTGCTCGTTGATTTTTCTGCCAGTGAGTCCCTTGTCTCCCAATTTATTTATTCGTTTATCACGAAGCAAATCAATACGGCTGGTTTTTCCCGTATTAAACATTTTGCAATGCCCCTGGTGGGGACTGAGGGAGAGGAGGAACAGCTGACAGGGAGTGGAGGTGTCGCTCCAGAGGTTGTGGCAGTCAGAAGAGGACCCGAGTCCATCCCCTCTGCATCCTAGGGCACGCAGGGAGGAGAGGATAAGGGAGAGATGTGGTCTATGGGGGAGGAGAGGGCCTTGATCCCCTTCATGGGCTGCAGCTGTGACAAGTGAATAAGAGGCTGGACCTGCGTATGGGCGAGCGCTGGAAACAAAGCGTGGAAATATCTCTAGTTTATGGTTCCTCTCTGAGTTTGGCGTCCTTCCCAGTGTGTGTTATCTGTGGACGTCCTCCGGCCCTTATCTTGCCTGGTTTGTGTTGCTTTTTTTCCTTCTTCTTGTAACTGTTTGTGGGGGAGTTTTTTGTCTTACGTCAAGGATATTCAGAGCTTGGAAGCAAAGGGAAGGAATAAAAGGGGCTTCCTCTGTTTTCTGCGACTGCGTTTGTTCTGTATCCCACCCTGGGTCATCAGACATTTATGGAAGGGCTGGGCTGTCCCCCCTCCTTCCTCCCCGTGCCCCGTTTTCTCTGCTCTCAGGTGGGGCCCCTATCTCACATCCAGGAACTTTGTAAAAAGCCTTGGTTGTGACCGGCCTTGAAAACAAGACAGAGATAAATGAATGAATGAATAAATGAACAGACAAAGAGATAAAAAGAAGAGGCTCCAACCTGGGGAGTGTTTGAATGAGTGATGCATTTCGGAATAATGGCGAAATGGCGACCACTGAGGCGCCTGGCTCCACCTAGGATCCGAGCCCAACTTAAGATGGTCTTGGTTTATTTGGGATCGTCTTGACAGTCTGAGTGGAGGCTGATTTCACACCCCATAAAGAAAATTCTGCATTTTTTAAAAAAATGCTCAGTTGGGTTTTTCCCTTTTTAATATTTTAATTGCTTTACGTTTAATTCTTGGGAAGCCAGGTACGTCCTGCCCACCTGGGCCTGGATTGCTCCGGTGTCTTTCCACTCCCCTCCTGAGTTTTCCTACCTCTTCATTTCTCCTGCCGTTCCTTCTTCGGGTCTCCCTTTTATTAGTCCTCGTTTTAGCGACCCTTCGCTGTCACGGCGGGGATTAAAAACGTGACCTCGGGACCAAACCTCGCTTCGAATTCCGTTGTAAATCGAAGGAAATTTGGAAGCACGGTTGCGGTTTCGCCTCGTGGCTGCTTCAACTCACAACCGCTCGTTTAGCGACTGTTCAAAGTTAACGGCACTGGAAAAAAAAGAGACTTGGGGCCCTGTGTCACACTTAACAACCGTTGTTACTAGCTGAACAACCGCTGTAAGCAGGGTTGTGAAGCCTCAGTTAAGAAATGCCTCGCTTAGCAACCTAAACTTGGGGCTCTGTCGCGGTTGTAAGGTCGAGGACTTCCTGCAAGGGCTTTGCGGTCGCTCGGGGAGGACCGGCTGAAATCGGGGAGGGGGGGGGGGGGTCACGTCCTGAATGAGGGAAAGCCCTGTGATTGACAGCTGACCCAGGATACCCTCCTCGTTCTCTAGATATGGCCAACCTCTCGCTGAACGACAACGACGGATCCAGCGGGGCCTCGGACCAGGACACGCTCGCGCCTCTGCCTCTTCCAGGGGCCACCCCTTGGCCGCTGATGCCAACCTTTCCCTACCAGTACCCGGCCCCCCACCCGTACAGCCCCCAGCCTCCGCCCTACCACGAGCTCTCCTCGTACAGCTATGGGGTGGGAAGCGCCGGCAGCCAGCAGAGCGAAGGTAGGTGGGGCAACTGTGGGAGTGGGAACTCGGCCGGCTGGGGAAAATGGGCTCTGGAATGACGGGGGGGGGGGCGAGGGAGGCTGGGAAGTTGGGGAGGCGGGGGTCAGCTCAGGACCAGGTCCTTGCCTGCTTGTGGGGCCCTCATCACTTGAGACCTTCAAGAAGAGATTGAACTGCCATTTTGTCAGAAATGCCGTAGGGTCTCCCGCTCGGGCGGGGGGTTGGACTAGATGACCTATGAGGTCCCTTCCAACTCTGATTATCTGTTGCTTGCAATTGGGGAGGGGATTCTGGGAAGGCCTTGCTTCCTTCCTCGGTCCTAATTTTTGATCACCTTTTTCAAACGTATTTGTATTTAAAATGTTAAATCTTAAAAAATGTTTAAAATGGTGAGCCTGGCGGAAGATGGGGCGGAGGGGGCTACAGCGAAGTCCTCACTCTGTGACCATAAGCGAGTCCGCCCAAAAGTCAGGATGGGTTGTAAAGGAAGTCATTCCGCGACCCGCCTAATTTTATGACTCTTTTTCTACAGAGGTCGCTAAGCAAGATCTTTTAAGTGGATCTGCAGTCATTAAACCCTTTCATGGTTGGGGGGGGAGGAGAGATTTCAAATTTCGGACGCTTGGCAACTGACTTGTACTTACGACGGTTGCAGTGTTCCTGGGGGTATGTGAGAGAGAGACGGAATCCCCTTTTGGAGACCACACTTGATGGGGAAGCCGTGAGGCTGACTTTTACCCGCTTAACGACCACGAGGAGAAAGGTCATAAAACAGGGCAAAAGTCACTTTTAACAGCAGTCTTTTTAATGATCAGTAAACGTTGGGCTAAAATTGAGGATTCCTGGCATAAACTTTACTCTCTTTGCCAACAAATACATCCAATAGTTTCATTCCTTTTAATATTCCCCTCACCGTCTGCAGTTCCGAATTCAATTCTTTGCTTATTTCTTCCGTTTCTTTAGTCTGTTGGGAGTTTTTCTTTATTTTATTAAAAGTCCAGTTTTTCTCTTATGGTCCTTGCCAAAAAATTATCTGTTTTCTCTTTCTCCGGTTTTCTTTCTTCAGTCAACACCAAACAGTCCCCGAATATTACGTTCATTTATACTTTGCTGCAAACCCCAATTTTTTTTTAAGACTTGTTACGCTACTAGTCTTTTATTTCATTTTTTTTTCTCTTTCACGTATTTATTTATATGGCCAGTAATTTTCCACGAAAACATAAAAGAGGCAATATCTTTAACCATTAGATAACGCTCTATATTGCTATCTAAGTTCTTTTTTAAAAATTCTCTTTTCCGTTGTTTTAAATTCAATGTTACCCATTCCAGGTAAGTCCAGCGTTTTATCCAATGCCTAATTAGCGCCCAATTCTGTAGATTATTCTCTGGTGTAAATTTTAATTCGTAACTCAAAAATCGTTCACCATTTTGGCTTTCTTGCCTTGCAGGCAGCCGCAGCAGTGGCTCGAACCGCAGCGACGGAGGCGGTGGTGGCAGCGGGGGCGGCCGGGGGACCGGGCGGCCCAAGGAGGAGAAGCCCGGGCCGGAGTCGAAATCCGGTAGTGGCAGTGAGTCAGAATACTCCATCCGCAGCGGCAGCCAGCGTGGCGGGTGTGCGGCGTTGATGCCGGGTGGGGAGGCGTCCTCACAGCGCAGCCAGCACAGCCTGGGGGGTGTCAGCGTGCGTTCCCACCCCTCCCTCCAAAGTGCCTATGCGGCCCCCGGGGGGATGCCCTTGGCTTACAAACCGATGATGGTGATGATGGTGCCTCCGCCGCCGCCTCCTCTTCCTCCCCCCACTGTACAGCCTCCGGGCGCCCCTCCGGTGCGCGACCTGGGCTCGGTGCCCCCCGAGCTGACGGCCAGCCGCCAGTCCTTCCACATGGCCATGGGGAACCCCAGCGAGTTCTTTGTGGATGTGATGTGACGGGGGGGGGAAGGGGGCACCACTTCCAAACCCCCCTCCCAACTGTTCCCACCCAAAACCAGCTGAGAGGTCCAGCCTCTTCATTTAGGGGGGTCCTTCGCCCCCAAGGATGGACCAAACCTTCTCAATCCCAGATTCACCAGCTGATCCTTTGCCCTGAGCGAGCTCTTCACAGCCATGAGTCGATCCCTCTGGGCTACAAGTCGATCCACTCCAGGCCATTAGTCACTTCCTCCTGGCGACGAGTCGATCCTTCCGGGTCCCGAGTCGATCCTTCCGGGCCACTCACCAATCCCTCTGGACCGTGGGTTGATCCCTCCAGGCCATGAGTCATTTTCTCCTGGCTACAAGTCAATCCCTCCAGGCTGTGAGTTGATCCCTCCGGGCCGCGAGTTGATCCCTCCGGGCCGCTAGTCGATCCCTCTGGGCCGCGAGTCGATCCCTCTGGTCCGTGGGTTGATCCCTCCAGGCCATGAGTCATTCCCTCCTGGCTACAAGTCGATCCCTCTGGGCCGTGAGTCGATCCCTCCAGGCCGTGAGTCGATCCCTCCAGGCCGCGAGTCGATCCCTCCAGGCCGCGAGTCGATCCCTCCAGGCCATGAGTTGTTCCTTCTTGGCCACAAGTCAGTCCCTCTGGATCATTCACCGATCCCTCCAGGCCACGAGTTGATCCTTCCAGGCCGTTCACCGATCCCTCCAGGCCACGAGTCGATCCCTCCAGGCCGCGAATTCACTTTCCTACCTATCACTCGTGCCTTCTGCTCCGGGGCTCGTTGGCCAAGCTGCTTTTTTAGGACCGAGGCCCGACTCAGGTCTTGCTCCGTTCATGTTTTCGTGCCTTGCTATGCTGAGCCAGGGAGGCTCAGCGTACTCTGACCAGCCTTGCAAAAAAATAATAATAATATCACCCCGTCTTCCTGGGACCAGTGGATGCCGAATCCGCCTCCGTCTGTCATCCGAATATCTCACCCACCCACCCTCGTTTCCGAGATTTGGCGACTTGTATGCTTCCTTTTTCCTTCCCTTCCTTTGGGTGGTTTGCAGGAAGCGGGGTGCGGTGTGGGGTGTTGCTTCCTGCTTCTCTGTGGGGCCGTGTCCCCCCCAAAAAAGCCAAAATGGCCACCGCAAAGGTACGCTCCCCGTTCCAGGCCTTGGCCCTGCAGCGGCCTCCACATCTGCCTCGTCTCGACGGTACTTTTCCCGGCCTTCTTCTCCAGAGGGTCTCCAAGCCGGTAACAATGAAGGGGTCATTTTTTGTTGTTGTTGTTGTCGTTCTGTGTTTGTTTTGTGTTTTTTTTATTAAGAAAACGTGTTTTTTTTTTTTAATAGATCGTTTTTAATTCACATTTTGGGGGCAGTTAATTCCTCTTCCTTTAAACTTGTATTAGGGGCATCTTTTGTCCCCAGTTATATTTTTTAACACTACAGCCAGGCCTGTTTTTTGAAAAGCTGGGTGGGGGGTGGGGGCTTATTTCTTTCCTAACTTCATTTTGATCCCCCGTTTGTATTTTTTTACCACCACCCCCGCCTCCAAGTACCACCTTGGGGGCCTGATTTTCTAGGTTGCTTTGTGGATATCCCTCCTTGTCTTTTCTCCTAAGGAGCTTTGTGGGTGAAGGAAGAACCCCAGAAAAGTTATAGATGAGTGAACTGGGGGTAGATTATTGGGGGGGGGCTTTAAGCAGCACCCCCTATGTCACAGAGAGGCCTCTGGATACCCCCACTTCCTGCCCCAGTTCTTCAAATGCAAACGGTAGGAAGTGGGGCTGATTTTGTGCCTGTTCCTTTTCCCTCCCCCCAAAAAATAATCTGCCTCAATTCCTTTTTCTTCCCCCCCCTCCAAAAAAAAAAATCAGGGTGCAAATTCTGTCTACAATGGTGTTACTTTGCCCCGTGGCCCTTGGGATGTTTTCGATCGGCCTTTTCTCTCCAGCTTGCAAGACCGGGTGGACTTCAACTCCCAGAATTCCCTAGCTAGCAAAGGTTTCCCCAGCATTCACCCTGGGTAGAACAGAGGTGGCTAGAATACCTTTAGCAATTTTGGGGGTGGGGGGTGGGGGATAACTTCCTTAATAGACGGTGGGAATGCGGTAGACATAATATATCTCGATTTCGGCAAAGTGAAAAAAAATAACTCAGTTTTCTGAATAGATGGTGGGAATGCAGTTAAAGACGTAATGTATCTTGATTTCGGCAAAGCGAAAATAACTCCCTTTCTTAATAGACGGTGGGAATGCAAAGATGTAATATATCTTGATTTCTGTGGGATTCAAAGACCGGCCATTTCAGTGACCGCCTGGGCAGCGTTTATGGCCTTTTATATGACTTTTTACACAAAACGAAAGGCAGGAGACATTCCGGCGGCGCTGGGACTGGAGAGTAGAGGCAGCCTTGGTGAAACTCTTAACCCCCCCTTGAGAAGAATAATGATCTCAGAAGGAGAAAAAATCCTATCTCTGCTCGTGACAACCTTGGTCACATCTGGTTGATAAGTCCAAGGTGATATAATTACTAGCCAGCCCAGAGCCAGATAAGGGGAAGAGGCCCAGGCAGGAAATGTACTGCAGTTTGCTGCTACTAGCACCACCTGCAGGAATTTTCTTGCCACTACAGATTTCGGCAAAGTGGGATGGGGTGGGATAAAATAACCCGCGATGAACTAAATGAAAAATCCGGTTAAATGTGGGTTTGAATGGCAGGACAATTTAAACGGAAGATTGATATGCCGGCGTGGGAGTTGAAGCCCACCCATCTTCCAGCAGACAAGGGCTCTAACCCAATATTTCTCAACTTTGTCTCCTGGGTGGACTTCAACTCCCACAATTCTCCAGCCGGTATATCAATCTCCCATTGAATTGTCCTGCCATCCATTCCAGATTTAACTGGGTTATTCATTTAGTTTGCTTTTCCCCCCCACTTTGCCTGAATCAAGATATATTACGTCTTTAACTGCATTCCCACCGTCTATTAAGAAATGGACCTATTTTTTTCCACTTTGCCCGAATCAAGATATATTATGTCTTTAACCGCATTCCTGCCTCTATTCAAAAACCGGGCTATTCTTTTTTCCATTTTGCCAAAATCAAGATATATTACGTCTTTAACCGCATTCCCACCGTCTATTAAGAAAAATAACTTCTCTAGTAAGAAAAGTTACAAAGGAGTTGAAATCCACCCATCTTCAGGTACCAAAAATCGAGAAACCCAGCAACAGACATCCCTGTTGAGACGGCCGCCCCATCCGGGACCCCACCTCAGAGATGGAGGACTACAAACTCCATCGTCCCCTGCTCCGGGGGAGGGAGGGGGGTATCGCAGTCTGATGGCTCTGGGAAGCCTCAGGCTGGGAACGTCCGTCCTCGGCGTCAGACCCCGACTACTTAGCTCTCCTGTATCACTCGGGGGTCTTGTGCACACGCGTGATGGGGCGTGTTTTGTGTGTGACCCATTAGCAGATCACTTTTTTTTGATAAGGACATATTTATTTTTTAGCTCTTTTGTGTACAAAAAAAGCCTTCAATTAAAACAATAAAAAAAAAGTTAAAAGCCAAAGGCTGTGCAGCTGTGTGTGTTTTGTAAAAAAAATAAAAATAAAAATTGTGTAAAATACGTGTGGGGAATCTGGTTTTTGAGCTCATCCGAATGTGCCAATCTTGTGACTTTTAAATATGTTTTATTTTATTTTTTTAATTTCAAATGTTAAAATTGTTTTTAAATTTGAATTTTTTTTAAAAATGTTTTATACAGATGGTCCTCAACTTAGTTGAAACCCCTCCCCCCCCAAAAAAAAATTTCCATCGCTAAACAAGACGGTTACGTTTTGCTCCCGTTTTATGACTTTTCTGGCCACTGTGTTAAATGAAGCCATTGTTCAGTCAGTGACTCAGTTGTTAAGCGAATCCTGATCCCCCCCCATTGACTTTTGTGCATCAGAAGGTCACAATCCCCTCAGGGTGCTGCGACCGTCGTAAATGTGAGTCGGTTTTCAAGCATCTGGATTTTGGACCCACAAGGGATTGTTGTAAAAGTCGTAAGTGTGAAGCACGGATCATAAGTCACTTTTTCAGGGCTGTGTTGGTAACTTTGGACACTAAACGAATGGCCGTAAGCTGAGAACTGCCTATAAATGGAGGTCCTAAGACAAGGTCTTGTAGAAGTGATTGTGATGATTGTGTAAACCAGTATTATTTTTCAATCTTGGTTGCTTGAAGATGAGGGGTGGACTTCAACTCCCAGAATTCCCCAAGCTGGGTGGACATTACTGGGAGTTGAAGTCCGCCCCTCATCTTCAAAGCAACCAAAATTGAATTCTGGGAGTTGAAGTCCATTTCCCCCCCCCCCATCAGAAACTACCCAAGTTGGAGGGGTGGGAACCGTGCAATCAGCAATCACACAATTAACAGAACATTAAACAGACGAGAGAGATTGTGTAGTTTGTGTTGTCCCCGTCCTCAAAAGTTTTTATTTCCGAACTTTTAAAATCCAAATAATGGAAGCGGGCGGGGCGGGGCCCCGGTTTTGCTAAGCACGTTCCGAAAGAGGTTGCAGAGTCAAGGACAAAAGGACTACCTGGAAAGGGGGGGAGGGTTTGCACGCACCCCCCCCACCCACCCCCAGGAATCTGAGTCGGGAGGAAAACAAGGTTTAAAAATAGCCGTTTCGCCCCCCCCGCCCCGCCCCCCCCAGGAATCCAGTTGAAGGGATTCTGCCAGACCCCTTCCCCCTCTCTGGCGGGGGAGGGAGGGAGGGACACTCTGTATATGCTCAGGGGCACGAGTCTTTTACTCTGCAAGCCTCCTTCCCTTGCAAGTTGTAACAGGAAGGGGATGGCTGCCTGGAAGGTGGGTGGGTGGGGGGATTTGTCGCTCTGTACATGCTCAGGGGTATTGCCTTGCCCCTGAGGGGGGGTCGTTCTCCCGAAGGGGGGCGCTCTCTTCATGCTCAGGGACACGAACCCCGAGGGGGAAGGGTCCATTCTCTGGAAGGTGGGGCACTCTGCACATGTTCAGGGGCACCGCCTTCCTCAAGCCGCTTCTCCTTGCAAGTTCTAATCATAGGAAGTGGATCCTGCCCGGGAGAGGGCGCTCTGTACAGGCTCAGAGGCACCGTCTTTCCTTGCAAGCTCTAATAGGAAAAAGATCGTTGCCCGGAAAGCGGTGGGTGGGAGGTCGCTCTGTACATGCTCAGGGGCATCACCTTGCAAGCCCCCAAGGGGAAAGGGGTTATTATTCTCCCCGAGGGGAAGTGCTCTGTACATGCTCTGGGGCACGAGCCTTTCAAGCTCCCCTCCCCCTCCCCCTCCCCAAGGAGGTCGAAGGAGCGCTCTGTACATGCTCTTCCACTGGCACTGGTTGGGGGGAAGAAACCCACTGCGCATGAGTAGCCACGTCTTCAGCGCGCGAGCAAACTCCAACTCCCAGCATACTCCGCTCTTGCTCCTCCCCCCCCTCTGACGTAAACGGGGGCGGGGCGGAGCGAGCAAGCGGAACGAAGGTGGCAGCAGCAGCAGCAAACAGCAGCCAGCCAGCCAGATCCTCTGCGACCCTCTCCCCAATTACTGCAGCCCCCTCCCCAAGCTATGGCAGCTCTCCGCCTGTCCCCTCGCCTCTTCCAGGGGCTGGGCGCCCTGCGGGGGTGAGTAGGAGCTGGGGAGGGGAGGGGGACCTAGAGACGCCCCCCTCCCCATTTCAAGAAGAGATTGGACTGCATTTGTCAGAAAAGGTCAAGGGTCATCTGCTTGGGCGGGGGCCGGGCGGGGCGGGGGGTTGGACTAGATGACCTCCAAGGTCCCTTCTCAACTCTGATTATCTGTTATCTGTTATTTCATTGCAACCCCCTCCCCCCCTTGCAGTCCCGGCTGCCCCCCGGTGGTGGCACCGCTGGCAGGGAGACTCTACGCCGCCCAAGCGGCCGCCCAGGTAATTGTGGGGAAGGGGCTATCCGGCTATAGCCATGGTTGGGTTGGGAAAAGTGCGGGGGGGGGGCTTGGAAGGATCCCCTCTATCCTCAGGCTCCCACAGCAGCCCAGCTGGCCTCCACGAGGACTAGAAGCTTGAGCCTCCGCGTTCCTGGCAAGGATTGCTT